TAAAAATAAATAAATAAAATTCTTGCAGCACACCAGTTGAAAAGAGCTGGTATAAATGCTTTATATATTTTACATCTACATAAGTGATTTCAAGCTATGCATTTTCTTTTGCACTTTATTTACTTGACTCAACATTGTTTTTAAGATTTCTCCAGGTTGCTGGATACATATAGATCTAGTTCATTCCTTTAAACTGCCCGGTGGTCTTCTATTATATGACGTGCCACAGTTTATCCTTTCTGCTAGTGAGGGACATATTGGTTGTTTCCAGTGTTTTATTACTACGAACAATGCTGAAATGAACATGGAGGTCTGTGCATGCCCTGATTGGTTTTTTGTTTAGTCAAACCTTACCTTTTAGGCTAAAACTGCAAGCACCCAGGTGTCGACACTTATTAAAGCATTCACTGTGTCCAGAAATTTCCCCGGTGGAATCCATCCCTTTTGGTTTCTTTTCTTGGCTCTTTAAAAATACCCATCCTCCTAGGAGGAAAACACCTGGACACTGAAGGTTCCTTTCCTCTTATCAGCAGGTCTGAAGTGTTGGGCTGGGGATGGGGGAGTTGGTGAGGGCTCAGCCATCATTTCTCTACAAAGACAGGTCTGAGTCATAGCAGATCATGCCTTTCACACTGACTGAGTAGGTGAACAAGGCTGAGGCTACAGGTGGAGGTCTGCTGCCCCCCGAATTACCAACTCGTCCAGTGCCAGAGTCCTGTCCCCCGTTTCCCAGTTTCCCTAGCTTGTGCAAATGTCAGCCACGGGGGTGGGGTGCTGGCTTAATCTCTCCCACCCATCTTTTCCATACCAGGCAATACAGTGCCGGCAGTGTTCGCCATCCCAGCTGCCAACAGACCGGGCTTCACGGGCTACTTCATCCCAACGCCTCCCTCATCCTACAGGAACCAGGCCTGGATGTCCTATGCAGGAGAGAATGAGCTCCCGAGCCAGTGGGCCGATTCGGTGAGACCCTTGCTGATCCCCTCACATCTTCACCTGCTTGACACACTTCGGGGAGAAAATGGATAAGAGGTTGAGACGGAGTATTTTATCTCCCCCCCCCGCCCCCACCCTTCCACCAGTCAGATGGCTAAAGTCAGCCCTTTTAAAGGAGGTGGGGTAAGATGGATTGTCCTTTGACAGAGGAACTGGAGGCCTGCCAGGTTCTACCCCTTCTTAGCAGTGCAACCTTAATCAAAGAAATGTTTATAATAACTGCCATTTAGGGGGTATTTTCTGTGTGCTAGACACCACGTTAATTGTAAGGTGCTAAGGCCAAAATTCAAAACCTGCAACTTTCTGGCTCCAAAGCCTTTCTAAATGTGTTCCTTTTAGCTTTAAAACTCTGTAAAAAAAAAAAAAATGTACGTGAAATAGCAGAAAATGAAGTATTAGAAACTCAAGTCTGAATTACTTTGCATGTCCCCCCTAAGGCTTTCTGCATGACTTTCAGCCAAGGACTGTCTTCCCCTGGTTTCTTCCCTCATTACAACTAGGAGTATGTGGCCCAGCCCGGACCAAAGAGGGGCAGCAACCAGATGAATCTGGATATTCACACCCAAGCCTGCCTCTGAGTCACCTGTCAAGGGCTGCTAAGTGAAAAAAATAAAATAAAATACAAATAAAATAAACCCAAGCAAAAAAGCCAGCACATTGATGACTCCTAGAAATGGGTAGCCCCAGTCCCTCTGTGAGACCATCCAACATGGATAAAAAAGGCAGGCTGTCTGCCTGGGCTGAACCTGAGTGCCCCCCAGTACTGTATGGCACTTTAGAGTTTGGTCTCAGCATTTGAAATTCATTCTGGAGTTAAGAAACATGTTGACACCCAAGGCCTGGGTCACTCCTGGGGCCCATACTTTCCACCCCTACAGGATCAAGTCGACCTCAGAGTTGGTGTCCGTTCTTATTGTAGTGATGTCCCATCTAAATGCCATCATCAGGGGTGAAGTTATTCTACATGTTAATTTTCCTGGTGATCAAAGCTTACCCCTTCAATTTCTCAAATATTTTAAAATATATTCCATCTTGCATTTTAAAAATTCTGGAATGAATTCTGTCCTTCTGCCTCCTTTTTTAAAAGTGGAACATAATTTGTCTTCAACAAATGAGTCACCGTCATTATTATGCCTCACTATACAAAAGTGACATTTGTAAGATGGCCTCTGATGGTTTGTAGGATTATTGCCCCCATCAGGTATCTCCAGAGTACTATAATTTTTGGATTGTAGCTGTTTGCTGGATTCTGCTTATATTAAAAAGGTAGCCAGGTAGATTCTGATGTAGAGTCAGGTACGTTCTCACCAGCATATCCAGTGAGTTCCAATTACGTATTTTCTAACCAATCTGACTCCAGTTTTTGTATCTGTACAGTGGTACATGGCCTCCGTTTTCCTCTGTCCTCAATCGCTTCTTGCTTCCAGTATCAGGTATATCCTGTGACTTGAGCCCCTTCTTAATCCCAGACCCCTCTCTTGTGTCCCATCGTTCTCTGCAGGTCCCCCTCCCAGGGTACATCGAGGCTTACCCCCGGTCACGGTATCAGCAGAACTCCCCCTCCAGGCTCCCCCGCCAGTACAGCCAGCCGGCCGGCATGCACCCCAGCTTGGAGCAGGCCCCTGGGCCCTCCGCGGCAGCCTCCCAGCAGAGCCTGGCAGAGAACGACCCGCCCGACACACCGCTGACCAACATCTCCACGGCTGCCCTCGTGAAGGCCATCCGGGAAGAGGTGGCCAAGCTGGCCAAGAAGCAGACAGACATGTTTGAGTTCCAGGTCTAACGCCCGAGCCCCGTGGGACTTCCAGATTCTGAGGGAACAGCCTCCAGGCTTCTGAAGCCTAATGTGTTGGGACTTGAGGCATGGACAATGGGTGAGTCTTTCTCATCCTTAGTTTCTGAAAAGGTGATCAGTGGGGCTTCTGGGAAACAGGGGAAACCTGAACGACTGGATTCTCAGCCTGTTCAACTGATTGTATGTCAAAAGTCCCTGCTTGGAACCATATGTTTGATGTTCTGTTATATTTAAACTGTGGGTGTATTTCCCTGTGGAGCCTTAGTCACAACAGACACTGGCTAATCTACAGATTCCTGTCCAATGCCACGTTTCAGTAAGTCACCAGAGGGTGGAGGACATCGCTCTACCTTTGATGACCCCCGCATGTTAACTCTGTTTCTGTGTTAAAGGCAATGCAGGCGTGTGATTAAGCACCAGACTGTATTCTCTCTCATTCAGCCATGACCGTAATCGTTAAATCACCTCCAGTCTGAAAGGAAGGCACTGACTCCAGCCAAGAAACTTGAGCCCTTTTCTTTTAAAGATTCATATTCAAAGTCAGGTGCATCGGATGAAAATCAGTGCTAACAATGACTGTACCTCTAAATGGTCCTGATGTCCCCTCCCCACCCCCCATTAATTAAACAAAGGCCAAGCAAGAGAGAAGATGAGAGGGGATGGTTGCTTTGTGTTGACAGGTTTTTGAAAAGGTGATGTTATTTTGGAACCGGAGTAGCCTGCAAGTTGGGGTCTAACTGAAAGAGAAGCAGTGCTAAGAGCTTTTAGGATCCTATAAAAGAAAAACAGTTACTGGTGGAGCTTTTTCTTTGCCCTGCAGTGAAGGTGGCCTGGAAACGAAGCTTCTCTCTCTCTTTTGGGATAACAGATACATTGACTTTTATGAGAAACATCTCTGTCTCTTCGACTGACGGTGACATCCAGCCTGGGCTGCCGCATGATACAAAAGGAACTAGTAATTGCTGCCTGCTAGAAGCGAGGATAGTGGGTGCACAGTCTCCCCGGCCTGCAGCCTGTTGATAGAAGCTTCTGAATGTAGAAAATCTGTTGATTTACGTTTAAATGTAAATAACATTTTTAAAACTATAGGGAGGTAGCCGGCTTCCTTCCTCCCCACCCCCTGTGGTTAATGGACACCGGAGGTCACTTGCTGAAATGGCAGGGCTGCCGGCCTTGTGACAGCGATGTTGAAAATCACACCCCCTGCCACGGCGAGTGGGCCTCCCGAGCTCTGCGTGGGCAGCGTCTCGCAGCCCCGAGGCACCCGCCGCAGACTGAGCGCAAAGCCCAACAGCTGCTGACTTCAGGTGGCCTCGGGGAGAAAACGCTGGTCCCCTCACCAACTTTGGGAGCCGTGCACGACATTGAGGGCTCACTTGGCACCTGTTGGAGAATGAGGTCCTGTCTTGCCTTCACCCAAGATCCATCTCGCTTCAGCTGTATCCATTCCCCGAGCCCATCTTCCCATTCTCCTCATGAGTTTCTTTGGTCTTTACTGAGAGAAGGTGAAAATTTAAAAGTTGAGAGAAGAGTAGGAGTGGAACTGATTAGAATGGGAGATTCAAAACTGTCAAAGCACAGACTTCTCAAAGGAGCGCTTTTTATTTCCCAATGGCCAATTGCTCTTTCTGGGATGTTCCGGAAACCCCCAAACAAGCCTCTTGTTCGGATGATATTAAGTAGTGTCTTTTGGTATGCTGGTTGATCTTTCATAGTGTTAGTTTTTTGTTACTTAAAAAAAAAATCAGCTATAAATAAAATGTATTTTTGTAATTTCCATGTGTATATATGGTATATTTCTACCAACGGCCAGTTGTTGTAACCCAAAACCTAAATCAGCTTGCAAAACACTGTGGACAGTGCAAGATTCTATCGAGACAGTTTAACACAATGCCTAAGTCTATCCAAATTGGTATTCAATGCACTTGAATGAACAAAGAGCCAAAGAAACTCAGCCTTTTCATGCAAATGGTATGAGTCTGATAAAGTCAGCTACATTGTCCCGCCTTATCAATAATATTAATATTTCATCAGTGCAATGACATCAACCCAGTACTTCGTCTACTTGGTAAATGCCTGGAAATGTTATATGTGAAAAAGAAGTTTTAAGACCTTAGTGTAATTAAAACATATGCACATGCTTCAACGACAGTGTCCGGGCTTTGGATGTTCCAGTGACTTACAGAGATCGAGCCTACAGCCCCAGCTTGCTAAGAGGGTGAGAAACAAATCATTGTGGTCTCACAGAACCCGTGAAATACTGAGTTAGTCAACTGAGACAACTGAAAATACAGCATGCTTAATCAGACACTCCCTTACGCTAGACACCACCGGTTTAAGAAAGTGTGTAGGAGGAAAACCTTAAATTGGAAAGAGGTCCATCTGTTTTTCATGGTTTTGTCCCATGGGGAGACAGCTGCCATTGTTTGGTGTTTTGTGACCAAGATGTAGTCCCTTCTCTGAAGAGTCTCCTGACCTCGTAGCGGTGACAGATACCTGGACAGCTGGCTCAGAGAAAAGACAAATGGTCGGAAGTGCCTCGTGGAAGTTAAAATAGAGTTCCATGAGAGCCCAGAGGCTCTGTGGTCCTCATGACTCTCCGGAAGGTTGGGGAAGCCACAGGACGTCGGTGATCTTGGAGAAGGAAGCAAAGTCCTGAGAATTGGAGTGACCTGCCCAGGATTCCAGCCCAAGCCTGCTGATTCATGATGCAGTTTGCTTCCCATTTCACCATTCTGCCTGCATGCTTGTCTGTGGTTTCTTGAACTATGCGAGGAAGTTTAAAAAGTAGACAAGGGTCATGTGAGACATTCCCTGCATTCTTGTGAAGAAAAAAGGTGATCGACTAGGTAAAGAACTTCAGATAAAGTGTATAGAGGACAATGCATTTGTGGCGTAATAAACATTTTTTGGAACTAGTTTTAATGTGAGTGTTCTGCATTCTGAAAAGAAATGCATTTTGGCTTTTGCTAGAGAGTGCCATCAAGGAAATAGTGTTCTCAACTGCTGTTCAAGACTAGGAGTGTATTCCTCTCGATGCCACGGATCCAAACAGGCAGGCAGGGGAGCCATGCAGCTTGTCACTGTGAGGTAGTAGATCCCATGCCCTGCGTGGGGGAGGCAGTCTGGTGGTGCAAGAAAAAGTCTACCCTGTGCCCCAGTATGTAGGATCCGAGGTGGCAGTGTTACTGAAGCAGGAAGTTACCTCTTTCATCATGTGCCATGGACTGAATGTTTGTGCCCACCCCCGTTCATATGTCCAAATCCTAACCCCCAATGTAATGGTATTAGGAGGCAGGGCCTTGGGAGGAACCTAGGTCATGAGGGTGGAGCTCTCATGAGTGGGATTAGTGCCCTTATAAAAAGGATGCCCAGAGAGCTCTCTTGTCCTCTTTTCTGTCTGAGAACATAAAACGTAAGTTGGCAGCCTGCAACCCAAAAGAGGCTCTCACCAAAACCCTACCACACTGGCACCCTGACCTGAACTTCCAGCCTCCAGAACTGTGAGAAATAAATTTCTATTGTGTATAAGCCACCCAGTCTATGGTACTTTGTTACGGCAGCCTGAACTACTAAAACAGGGTGGATTATGTAAGAATCAATTCTCTGGACCCAGGAGGAGTTATATGGTGCATGTGTTAATTTAGGAATTCAGCAGAAGGATGTGTAATTTCTGAGCAATCTTGATGGAAGAATAAATAGGAAATTGTTAGATTTGTGATTTAGAAACACACACATACAACTTCTGAAAGAGTGCAGATAGAGGAGGAGAGGAATTTAAACACCTCACAAGAGGAAATGCTTCTCTAACAGGCAGAAACTAGGGAAATGGATCAAAGATTTAAATATTGATTACAGATAAATAAGCTGCTTTTTTCCTACATAACACACAGGCACTCGGTGCTTAATAAATAAAATAGCAAATTATCTTAAAAGTTTGAGAACAGAATTTAAACTTGATCCATTCCTTCTGCCACACACCAGAAAGTAGTTTGGATTTTCCTTGCAAAATACAGCCAAACACTCTTAGGGAAACAGTAATTTAGCTTGGAGCAGTGGCCCACCCTGATGCAAGTATTAGAGATTAAGGTCTGCCACTGAGTCAGCCTTATAAGTATTGTAGTCAAGGAACTTCGCAAGGTCTAGAAACCCACGCACACTTGCTAATTCACACTTTCAGAGGTTGACTGAAAGTTAAAGGGCCATTGCACAGAAACAAAACACAGCTCCCCTGTGGGAAAGAGATGGAGACAGCATCTCTTTTGCTCTCATGTTCTCTCCTATGGGCTTTCATCTCTGTTTCTCTCTGCATATCTGCTCAGTCCTCTTGCTTCCTTTGGCCTGCTAGCTTTCTGTTTTCTCATGGTGGGTGTACACGCTAAAAATCCCACCCCTGGGCCCACTCCACACAGTCTTTCCTCTTTAGTATCCATCCCTCCGTGACTACCATCTCTGGGCTCCTAGGATAAATTCTTGAGAGTCTGATCGGTCCAGTTCATCTGCCTATGAGTCAGGCACCCTTGGATCAGATGTCTTTCCAGTCAGCTAAAACAAGGAGGCAGGGTCATGCAATACGAGCATGGCCCCCGGCCTGGCCCTCTCAATGAGGCCTTTTGTTGGGGACTAGCACCAAGAGGAGGGAGCATAAGTGAACAGGACCTTCGAAAGGAACCAGTACTCCTAGGATGCCAGCCAGCGAGTGAGCAGTCCCTATGGATACTGCCACAGAGAGAAGATGTCGTTGATTTGCACATCAGTGAGAATGCTTGAGCTTGAAACCTTGGCGGACTGGCCAGAACTGCCCCAACCACTTCCCACTCACCACCAGTGCTACTGATACTGCTGCTGGGTCTAAGAAGTGATTTCAGACCAAGGCCCAGTGAGCACAATGTCTTGCTCAGCAGACAATAAATACTTGTAAATTGAAATGCATGATCTCAGCTCAGGTGCTATTAACGTGGCTTACGGCCACACACTTGCATGGATGAGAAAACCCATGAGCCTCTCAACAGAGTCTTTTGAAACAAAATTGGTTTCAAGGGAAATTGATATTCTTGTGGCTCTGCCCTTCCAAATATAATAAGTTAGTGTTCCCGAGAATTGATAGCTCTCTTGATTTCTTAAGGTGAACTGTTACAGAATCCTAGCCTGTGTTAAGTGCTGACATGTAGGGTGTTTCTGGAAAGGAATATTTACAAAATAGAATGAATAGCACCAGAAGCAAATTCTTTCAGAGGATATTAAGTTGCTTTGATTATGCAGGTCTTAAAAATAGGGAAATTTGGGAGATGGCAGAATTTGTCTCCATAGGTCAAACTCACACTTCAGTGAAAGCCATTATGTAATGAAATCTAGAAATAGGTTATTTTTATTCTCTGACCTTGGCCAGACTTTTGTAAACTATGGAAGGAGGCCATCAATTTATTTTACATAAATTAACTGTGGCCTCACCTTATTTTCCCCCATCTGTACCTGACGTCTAAACTCACCCTCAGCCCATACACAAAATGAGAGAAGGTTTGTAGCAAACGATCAGAGGAGTATCATTGGTCTGGAAATTTTGAAAAAGGCATAATAAATAGTCAAGGCCTCAGTCAACTCACTATAAACCAGCCTCTGATTCCTTATCTGTGAAATGGGTATAACAGCACCTGAACTTCCTACCTCTGGTGATGGTTGTGAGGAGCCTGTGGTTTAATGTATGTGAAAATGCTTTGAAAAGTGTATTCTTACTAAAGTATTAGCTTCATAATTCAGTTTTATCGAGCAAAATATGTTAGCTCCTTCCATCCACAGAACTAATTTGTCTCATGTTCTATAACATTTTTAAATTTTATATTCTATAAAATTAAATAAAGACGTTCCTAAGTTTGGAAGTGCCCACAAAAGCTGGCCTCACTTGGAGCTGTATTTTGCTGCTGTTGTTGTCTGTGATTTGAAGGATACATAAGTACTTGTACACGTGCTTCTGGGCGGACAGCCCAGACCACGATTCCTCACCAACCACGTGGACACGTTGGGCAAAGACAAGTATTGAACAGGAGCTTTGACTGTAGCTGTTGTCATTTAAGGCTTTGCTTTCTAATTAACTTTGTACATCCTTGGCCTCTGCCGGGAACAGAGTGTTCTTATGCTGTCAGAATTTTTTATTGTAAAATAAAATGGCAAAGGCTTTCATACCCCAAAACCTGCCTGCTTTTCATTCCGCCTTGGCCAGATGGTGAGATGGACTCCCCTTCACAACCCAGCTGCACCTCGGGCCTGCTGGATGCTGCTAAAGAACACTTGCAGGCTTGGCAGACCTCATGTGGTCTCAGAGGCCGTCCGAGCCTGGGGCATGAGCCGGTGGGCCAGGAAGAGGTCAACCCTGGCCATCCACAGGTCCCAGAGAAGCAGCCTATCCACAGCTGTATTCTTGGGGCCGAAAAAGAATGTCTGCTCACATGCATTTCTCAGAACATAAATCCCACCCGGGTTAGTGGTTCCCAAGGAGTCCAGGGGTGACAGGGTATGGACACAAACTCCTGAGACCACCTACCTCCCCCACCCTGTGCTACTCCCAGCAATCCTGATGCCTGCCGTATGTTCAGCCCATTCCAGAAACCGTGTGTTATACTCTATGCTCAGCCTCTGGCCTAAGCTGCGTGGACAGGAGAAAATCCGACCCAAGAGCTGCACACTAATAGGCTGACCAACCACAAACAATGCAGCTCAGTGCATGGGGTAGGCCAACCGGATTTTCTCTATAGGAAATACCAAGAGAGAGATTCTTAGCAGCAGATGTTGAAACCGAATGGTCAGGACTCAGGCCAAGATGGGCCGTATTCAAAGCAAAGGTGTAAGAATGAATATTGAGTAAGAAGAAGCCTTGAGGCCAAGGAGATTTCGAGTATAAGAAAGAGGGCCTGTCTCCTGTAATAAAAATAGACAAACAGAAACCAACTCAGTGTTTCTCAGGAGGTCCTGTGCCCTGATGGAGAGCCCCCACCTCGGGCTTTCCTGGCTCCACTGAGACTTGGGCAGCAGTGCAGTGTTGTCTCTCACTGGAGCTTAATCTACCGAGCTCTCTGCAAGTACTTACGAAATCACTTAGAGAGTGAAGGAGCCATTTTGTACTCCTCTGTCCCTCTGTAGAGAAGGTTCGAATATGCACGTAAAAAATGCCCCCAGAAGCCACTGTGTCACTGCAGTGATGAGGAATAAACTTGGAGGCTCCACAAAATGCTTTGGCGGGACTCCCCATGGGGCGGAGATCGTTGCAGAGAAAAGGGCCAGTGAGCCCAGGAACCAGGGGTTCCACACTCTTTTTCTTTCCCCCTGGACTCTGGCTGCTCTTCTTTTTCAGGACAAATGAAATAATCAAGTGAAAGGAAGTACCGGTGCCTACTTCAGTCCCAGGAATGGCAGATAGACACAGACCCAGGGAGCTGGGAAAGACATGTAATAAACCCAGTCTCTCCTTGCTGGGTCCCCATAGAAATAGGAGAGCAAAGTATTCTAAAGGATGATCTCTGGATGTCTGAGTAAATGTCATGCATCTCATGAGCTCCACTGGCTACTGGAAGTCCGAAAGAAGGTGCCNCTGAGTAAATGTCATGCATGCATCTCATGAGCTCCACTGGCTACTGGAAGTCCGAAAGAAGGTGCCTAGGAAGGAGTGTGGAACCAAGTAATGGAAACATTAGTGAGGGTCAGGGTGATGGCCCATTACCTATAAAATGTGCACAGATGGTTACTGGGAAACATAATTGCTTTGACGCTCTCTCTCTGACCTCTTGGAGGTATGGTTATGACAAATACTAGTTTGCACAGTTGACTATTTTACCTTAACATTTCAGTGTCCGTGTTTGCCGGTGGACAAACCCACATTTAGGGAGAAGCCATCTGACTCTGGCAAGGTGGGGCTGCACCAGTGTTTATCTTTGTAACGAGTGCCTCTGACGGCTGCAGTGTATCTTCCTCCAAAAGGTTTCCAAATTGGATTTTCTTCTAGATAATAACGAACCGAACAAGCCGATAATGTCAGCCCTGGATGTGAGAGGGCTAGGAAGGGAAGGGGCTGTTTCACCTTGCTTCTAAATCCATGCTGCCACCTGGTGGATCCCACCATGAGAGAAGCAGGAGGATTTTGTGTTAATGATAAGAAACCTTGATGCCAATTTGCCCAACAAACCCCAAAAGGCAAAATGATGGTGAGCGTCGGCTGTGTGTCAGGTAGTGAGCTGAGCAGTTGACACACATGATCCCAGTTAATTCACAACAACCCAGGCAGGGGGAGTTATCCTACACATTTCCAAATGAGTGTAGGGGCTCAGAGAAGTGTAAAACCAGCTTTTTTGTAAAAAACAATTAGATGAACAAATGACTGAACAAATGAGTACATGAATGCGGGCTTCATTTATGTTTTTAGTTGTAGAATGTTTGTGCTATATTCAGATAAACTCTGAGACGAGATTAATAATCCTGGGTGAGTTTGTGAATGGATAGGTGGGATAGCTAATCTTTTTTCCTTCTTCCAGAAGAATCGCCCCTCAGACCCCTGTTGAATCATCAGCTGATTATATGAACTTCCCTGCTCCATCTCTCTTCTCCCCCAACTTGTAACCTAGCTGCAAGCCAGCTGGTGAGTCACTCCATTCTCTTGGGAACTGGAACTAGGAAAGTTTCTTGGGGAAAATGCATGTGCTTCCCATGAGTCACTGAGTAGCAAAGTGATGAGGAAGCTGGTTGGAAAAAAAACAGGAAAGGGCGGCAGGTACAACAGGTGTATGGAGCAAGAGATAAGAGGGCAGCTGCCCAGGCTCCTGGTGGCTTCCAGGCCCTGGTGCCAGGTAGCATGAGGGGACATGTGGTGTCTTGGCCTATAGCTGCTGCCCCACTCCTAGTGCTTCTGATGGGGCAGCAATCACGGGACCCTGTCCACCTGTCCACAAGAGGGACAGACAGGGACATGTAGCCCTGGTGAGCCAGTCATTTCCTCTCCAAAGAATGCTAGTTGGAGCTGAGCTGTCCGTGGGCTGCACCTCCTTCTTTTCCTTCTAAAGGCCTGGAGGCCCCCTTTTTCTGTTTCCCTTGCATTAGATTCTATCGCTTGTAGACAACCCCACTGCCAGCCTCTCTGGTTATTTAAGTAAGCTAGTTTGAGTGTCACTGATCATTCTCTGGATTTCTCTCTGGCCACTTTCCTTCCATTACGGCACAGGTACCTTTTTGGACCTGCTGAAGCTCTGGTGTGGACGGGATGAAAGGACAGGGTGATGACTAAAGCCCTCTCTTTGAGGCACCGCCTACAGAGAGCTGGAGCCCTTGGCCTTGCCTGTCTGATGTGGGCAATGAGATGCTGCCCGGGAGACATGTGACTGGCCAAGAGTCAAACTGCCTCCCAGCCAGCTCAGCCAGCTCAGCCCCTTATCACTTTTGTGAGGCTGAGCTCTTGGGCTCTGCAAATTCAAGGCGTCTCCCTCCCTGCAGATTGGGCCTCCCTCTAGCTCCTATCCTGCAGTCTCCACCCTTCTGTGCACCGGTAGCTCCACAGTGAGGGCTGTGTCCCGAACATACTGGAAAACAATAATAATGACTTCCCACTGGGGAAAGTTTCACATCCTTCATTTTGCTGTTCCGCACCCAGCCATCCTGTGAGAGCAGTGTTTCCATTTTGCAGATAAGGAAACAGGCCCGGAGAGGTTGGCTGACTTTTCCAAGGTCGCATATCTGGTTAGTTACAAAATCAAGATATTGTTGAAAGGCAAAGGGCAGTGAGGCACCAATGTGGTATTCACGTCTAGGAAGACAGAAAGCCTAGAAGTGACCAGCTCTCTTCCTTGTTCTCCAAGGAGCCAGGCCCCCTGCTGGCACTGGATCCTGCCTGATCCCTTTGGCCGCAGCATGGGACACAGATGACAGATAAGGTAGTTGGAGGTTTTCCTGTCGCACTGAAATGTATATTTCTCTCAGGACTAACAGATCTGCTATGAAAGGGTCATGCTATAAATAGCTGGTTACATGTTCTATCAAGTTTCAGATTCCATCTTGGGCAAAACAGTTGCCACTGGAGAGGAGGGACTTCAGCCCTCCCCCTACCGGCTATTACCTCTGCCCTCCGTCTACCTGAATTTCCCCGAAAGTAGGTGTTGCTCATCTGATTGGTGAGGGTCCCCTGCATTCCTTGGGCCCTGCTTCACCATGGGGCAGGCTTAAGCCATCCTTAAAGTCAGCACATGTGCTAGCTGCAAACCCAGTACGAGGTAAAGCCGGCCTTCGTGAGCCGAGTGACCAGGTTCTCCCCCCCTTCCAGCTGTGTAACTGAGTCGGCAAATGAGCCAGAGGAAGCAGGGAGCTTCATTTAAACCTTCAGTTCGTTCAACTTGCAAAGCTCCAAAGCACCTTTGCCTTCGGCTCAGTTATAAATAAAGTGGTACTTTTGTTTCCTGTTTACCTGGTGGTGTACTAGTAAATGTTTAACAACCACGCTGGCTGGGGAGGGAGGGGAATGGAACAACTCTGACTTGTACATTTGCCAATTTCTAGGCTGTGAATATTCCCATTGCGGCCAATTTCTAGATACCAGCATGACATTATTAGGAAGTAGTGCACATTTGCACACTATCATATGGGATTTCTACCATACAGATACAATGAAAATAACCCAAGAACATAGGTAATTGTAAACTGTAGCAAAATAATTAGGAAGTGATGGATTCTCAGTATCTATTACCTTAGTTTTTATTCATTTTATTTTATTTTTTATTTTATTTTTTGTTAATCCTCACCTGAGGGTATTTTTTCCATTGAGTTTTTTTAAAGAGAGTTGAAGGGAGAGAGGGAAGGAGAGAGGGGGAGAGAGAGAGACAGAGAGACAGAAACATTGATGTGACAGACACACATCGATTGGTTGCCTCACACGGGGCCCAGGTACATGCCCTTGACCAGGAATTGAACCTCGAGCCTTCAGTGCACCACCAACACTCTAGCCAATGAGCCACACCGGCTAGGCTGTTACCTTAGTTTTAATTAGAGCATAATTGTAAGTTGATACAGTTTAATTTTTAATAATGGCAGTATTTAACAACCAGCTTATAACATTCCTGAAAATTTAACAGCTGGCTCTCGGGGCCTGTTCAAGCTGGCTGCAGCAGGCCCCTGCATTTATCTATTATTTCTTGCATACTGTCTTCTCTCAACTGGAACCCTTATTGCCTGCATCGGTCAAGCATCCTTTTCTTTGGGGAACAACCTCTTTTATTTCATTTTGTTCTGAGGGGCAATCACATGACCTTCACATGACCTTCCTCCCCACTGGCCTGGTAACAGGACCTTCGACCAAAGCCATGGGATGAGGGGACAGGTGACAGGGTTGGGTATGGGCATTCCTGGGACCTTGGCTGTAATACCATAATACTGTCAATCTCATCCTCACTTGGAAAGTTGTGGGAAACAACCCAGCCAACCCCAAAACTATGTTCTACCAGCATTGAGCCAGATGCTTCTTTCTGATGCCTCTCCTGGGGCTTCCCCTGAATCTGTGCCTCACCCACCAAGAGAGCCTGGGAGAGCTGTGACACGCCCGAGTTCCAGTCCTGGCTCTGCCTTTCCCTAGTTCTGTGTCTGTGGGCAAGTCACTTCATCTTTTGGAGCCTCTGTTGCATCATTTGTAAAACATGGCAAGAGTAGCACCTATTTTACAAGGTGCTGGTGAGAATTAAGTAAGATTGTTCATGTCAACCGCCTCCCTATGTGGTCAGCACAGGGTGTGCACTTTAATCGGTGGCCAATCTTATGAGTACGGTGGGGGGTGGAATGGAAGCTACTGGGACTCTGGGGAGGGAATGGGAAACAGGCCCCCACAGGATATAGGCCCTGGGTTTTCCTGATGCCCAGTTTATTCTCACTAAGATTCTCCAGCCCCCTCACTGGCCTGGCCAGTCTGAAGTTTTCTGGGGGAACAAGGGTGCTTCTCTAATAACAACCAGCCTGGGGCCAACAAGAATCTGGCTTCTTCCTGCCGAGGGGATACTGGAATCCCTGCTCACGGTGCTAGGACTCCTAGGGGTAGAGCAGGTCCTAGAGGTTTCAAACTCTGGGGAACTGTCTGGCCTGTTTTATTTGGCCTGCGTTGTGTTTGGAAACATTTGAATTCATTGGTAAGACATAGAAAGCAGGAGCTTTCACTTGACACTGTGCCCACATTCCTGGCTGGGCAACAAGCAGCTAGAGCTTGTTATCAGCTGCTCCCAGAGTCACACATGCACTCTGCAGCTTGCCAGGCTCCACCTGGTTCCACACTCCCAGGTTTTTCAGCCAGACCTTGTAGGCGTGCTCACGTGTGTCCTCAAGCTGGAGAATGCTGCAGACTTTGGGGCACGTGTATGCAACTTCCAGGGCTCCCACCACCACATTTACCCTTCTACCAGCATCTGCACAGTCATTGCACAGATGTGACCTCCTGTTGTTATAGATGAACCATTTGCACTTCCATCTATAGCCCATCCATCTAAGGTAAACTAGATCCCATCTCTCTGGTCCACCCAAGGACATTCCAGCATCATCAGTTTTTCTGCCTCTACTGGGTCATTCCCCCTTAGTGTTTTCTCCCATCTTAATAAAACCTCTCCACCCAGCTTGCCCTGCCAGCTACCGCTCCCCTAGACAGCTGAACTCTAAAGAGTCATCTATACCCATCTTTGTAACTCATCTCTTCCCATTCTCTCTTAAAACTCCTTCAGTCCGGCATTAACCAAAACTATTCTTCACAACATCACCAATACCAAAGCCATGTTGCTAAATCCGAGAGTGAATTTGCAGGCTCATCTTGCTTGGCCTAGCAGCACTATCTGTCAGAGGGGACCCCCCCACTCCCCCATAAACACCTTCTTCACTTGGCGTCTAGAACACCTGACTCACTGGCCACTTCTTCTCATTCTCTGTTGCAAGAAGCCCAAACTTCACAAATTCTTTCACTACGATCTACAGTTGCTGCTGGCCTGGCATAGTGAAGGCACAAGGGTGTCTAGATGCCAAGCATCAAAATGTTATACTTGATTGAAGATGTGTTTCATAAAATACTTTTTTCTTTATCTGTGTGTTTGTGCCTCTGAGATCTCACCCCTCCTCCTCCTCACCATAGAGACAGCACCTGGCAGTGGGGCTGGGTTGGTGGTGGCAGCAGGTGTCCCATAGACACCTCTCACCAAGCAAGGGGGAAAGGGCAGATGGGGCTGCACTGTCACTTCCCACTCAGCTGGGTTATTAATTACTACAGCTTCCTGCTTTTCCTGCTTCCTTCCTTAGTCTGTTAACCTAGCAGCACAGTCAGATTCTGTCACTCACTGGCTGAAAATCCTCTAACCACGCCCCATCCCACTTGGAATAGAACCCAGAGTCCTTGGCTATAAGTCCCACGTGAATGGACCCTCTCTGCAAGGACCCCTACCACTCTCCTTTCATTCCCTCCTGCTCCTGCCATCTGGGCTTTTTGCAGACCCTCAAACATCCCAGCATGCTCCCACCTTCAGCCCTTGCACAGGTCCTTCTGCTGGAACATTCCCAGGATGCCACATGGCTATCACCCTCAACCACCTTCAAACCTTGTTTAAATATTAACTCTTCAGGTAACTATATTTGAAATTCCACCCTGCTTTCCTCTGACCCTGCTGACCATCCTTACTCTACTCTCTTTTCCCCCCTTAGTATGTTATCATCTGTGATACCATATTATGATTTACCTATTTATAAAATTATCTGTGTCTCCCCCACCCCCAATTGCAAGGCCTAGAAGGGTGCCTGGCACAGAAAAAGCTCTCAATAACTATGTCTTCAATATATTAATTTCTAGGAAGGACCACGGCTTTGATCAGATTATCAAATAGCTTTGTGGTCCAAAAACCACTAAAAATCAAACACTTCCAAGGACTAAAGCTGTTGGAAAACAAACCCACTATTACTGTCCTTCAAGAGCCTTTCTGAGCAGGGACACAGCAACAGAACCAAATATAAATTGCCATTGGTCTTCCCCAATTCCCTCCTGACTTGGCAGTATTGTGAGTCCCTCCCCTGGTCTTGGGAACCCCTGGATGCCCACAGGGCAGCTGCTTCCAAACCCCATGAGGAAGTTCCCCCAGCAACAGCACAGAGAGGAGAGAGACCATGAGATTTCCCACGTAAGTGGGCACTGTATGTGGAGTATGTGCTGGGAGCAATAAGAACAGCAGTAAATACAGAACAGAAAATAACGATTTTTGAAATGACAACAAACAGGACACATTACCTAAGCACTAACACCTAAGGAGGTGGCTACCCAGGCTCTGGTGGGCAGCTCCTCAGGAGAGAGAGGCTGACTTCTTTCCAGGCTGCCTGGTCTTCAGTCCTTGTAACTTTTCATCTTTCAGCGCCTTCAAGAACTTATCTGCAGGAAAGCAAAACAAACTTAGCTGGGGTACAGACGAGGGCTTTTTCTAACACTGCTAAAGCAACTGTGTGCTCCCTACATGAGCCCCAAACCCATTACGATCCAAGATGGGTGGGAAAAAATTCCCTAATAGCCAAAACATGTATAAGTGGAGAATCTGTTGTTGAGAAACCCAGGACTTAGAAATGTCCAAGTTTTCTAGGAATTGTTTTCTTCCCATGGCTATGGGGAAGGGCACATACAAGGCGCCTAATGAATTAGGAACCCACAGCCACATGGACCTAAACATTTGGGTTATTTCATACTCCCTTCCCTGTGTGGGAGAGGGTAAATTTTACCTGCTTTATAGAATAATGGGGGTGGTCTTTCTGGAACCATCTGCCCTCCTCCAGTGATCAAGTGCTAGCCTCAGTCAGAATAGGTGAGGGGAAAGACAGTCTGCAGAACAGCCTATGGCTACTGACTGTTCTATAGGGCAATAGGTCCACTGGGAGTAGAACTGGGTTTAATTTTACTCTCCAACAGGGAGGCCTCAGTCGGCTTGTGTGCTAGAGGAATCCCACCCACATCAGCACACCTGGTCTGCCCTGGTTAAGTCCCTAAGACTTCAAACCTAAGATCAAATGGCATCAGAGTCCAGGACCTTGGTGAGAGGGCTACAAGGTGAGGGAGGGGCGAACGTGTCACAGGGAGGCTGCTTTCCAGCATTGAGAAGCGGAAGGTCCCAAAGCCCCTCAGTGAATGACCTTGGGCCTCCTGAGTCCTTCACAATTCCCATCTGCCCCCTACAGACACTCTAACTGACCCTGGCCTACTTCCCCACCTCCCATCGGGGACCCTAGTTCAAGATAAATGCTAAATCCCAGGTCTCTAGGGAAAGGGGTTGTCTGTGGTGGGTGGAGCTCCAGGGGTGGTAGTGTTACTGTGCGGGAGGCTTAAAGTTCAGGAGGGGGCTGGGGGGTGGAGTTCCAGGTTTGGGGCTCAGAGTCCAGGCTACTGAAAAGGGCGCAGGATGGAAGGAGGTGGGAGCTTGGGGAAAGGAGTCGGTTGAAACCCAGGATGGGGAAGCCTGGGTTCTGGGGGCTGACTGGGGACCTGGGATCACATGTGTGCTGGAGTCTGAGCCTGCGGCCCATCCTGGGGAGGGGCGGGGGCGCGGAGCCCGGGAGGTCACGCACAGCGCTGGGAGTCGAAGCCGTCCCCAGTGATGGTGAGCAGCTCCAGCTCCTTGATCCGGATCTCCAGTTCGCACAGCTCCTCGGGGTGGGAGGCAGAGGCGAGCCGGGGGGTCGGGGGGCCAGGCGCCAGGGGCAAGGCAGCCACCTCGGGCCCCGGCGGTGGCGAGTAAAAGAAGCGAAGAGGCTCATAGGGGATGG